AAAGGTAGACAGAATCTTTTCTGCCTCAGGGCCCATTGCATATATGAGGCTACTAACTTGGACTTCTTCACTTTTCTTCGTCAACGCAGATGCAGACCTCTAGTCTGTGGGAGAGCCACTGGGAAAACCAGAAAAATAATAAATTATATGAAATTAAACCCAAACTAGAACAGCGAAATCCTTCGGATCTCTCCAGAAGAGACGAAGTCATTTTTACTCGGGACACACGGCCCTGACCCACAAATACCTCCTACAGGGAGATGAGAAGCCGTTCTGTGTCAGATGTGACACAGATTTTACCATTAGACACATTTTAACAGAATGTCTAGACTTTGGAGAGATCCGAAGGAAATATTATAAATGCAAGAAATTGCAGGATATTTTTTCCGTCGTTGTTCCCAGCAGAATTTTAAATTTTATAAAGGCCTTTATGGTGAGTTGTAGAGTGAATTTGATATTGTTTTAGATAACAAATGTATTTACACCGAATTTGAATATTTTAACTTTTTAGCATTTTAAAGTAAATTAGTTAGCCAGTCGTGAAGTGAACTTTCGCAGAGGTGAACAACTTGTGTTTCGCGCGCTCATATGACCTTAGCAGTTGCGAGCGCCGTAAAACCTTATACTATACATACATACATACGCAGACGCAGTCCTAAATCTAAGAAAAGTTTGTCTCCATGAAGCCCATGCTATCGGTTCATGAAAGTTAAAATTAACTGGTGGTTTAAAAGTCATGTTTCTTACCGTGAGGTTTCTCCACGTTATATCCTACTCTTGTGTGGTTCTTCTGTCTCACTCACTCACTTCTGACACCATGTAGCAAGATTTACTTCACCAGTCAAATGGCCCCAAAAACTTAGAGACACAGACACAGCTTTATATACACCCCAGACCCTTTGTTCCCAGAAGCCCTGAATCTCAAGACAATGTGAGAACTGCTCATGGAGTGTTTACAATGGAAGGGAAACAACTGATTATATAATGGACAAGCAACTGTGGTGGATTATGGATTATGTCCCATATCATTACAATGCACAAACTCCTCCCTTATTACCTAACCCACACCTTTGAAACTTTGCAGGCGTCCACAGCATCAATGTGGCTAGGACCTAACTTTAAAAAGTCCAGCAAACTGCTTTCCCCGATTTTTCCAAAATGGTTTGTTTCGTCCTCAGAGTTATAAATCTTGGGAAAGTTCGTATTCTAAGACTCCAATGTTAACAAAGTGGGGTTTCTGTTTACTAGCCGTGCGCTGCTTCCACACCTTTGAAATTCTGGAGTGTACAACCACGAAAGCGGAATAGAGAATCAATCTATACATCTATTATATATTTGGCAACTAGGAAACACGTGTGTAATTTTTCTCTCTAGATTTATTGCTCCATTCCAGTAGAGTGTAAATATAGTAGGCCACTGACTTTCAGTTGACGTTAATGCACTGATTATTCCTTTCATCGAAAGGGGGCCCAGCTAGTCATTAAGGTTTTTAAGCTTTTTTTTCAATTTTACTAAAATACAATAGTAACACCTCACCCCTGATTCTGATTTTTTTTTTTTACTCACTTCAGATGGGTCACACAACAGTTGCGTGACCCACGCCGCGACGCTCGCGACGGGTCTCACAAGCCCTGCGTGACCAACTTTGGAATTTTTTTTTCGCTCTACAAATCACGCACGGATCGCGAGACCCGCCTTGTACCCTTGTTTGGCCAAGCCTGAGCTACTTAGACTTCGTTTCGTATCTCTGGGGTCGGTAGTTTTTAAGTTATTGAAAGTGAAGGACAGTGACCCCAACTGGGGTTGAATAGACCGGAACTCGCGCTTTGTTTTTTTCTATACAGCTGATAGTAATCCGACAGTCGCGTCGTAGTAACGGTCGAAGAAGTCGCATGAACAAGAATCACATAATTTCGCCGTTTTCTATACTTCTGTACGTTTTACTAGTTCTAGTGTCTCAGAATATGATGAGTCTAATAGTTAGGATCCTGGATATGTACCCGAACACGGCCCGAGTCGTAGTTCTAGGGCTAGATCTAGCACTAGTACCGGTGTTGTTTTTCGCGCAACGAAATCACAACGTCGTGCCGTACATCTGTCTCATGTAATTCAGTGTATTGGTCTGAATCAATGCACAGACCAGCTTTTATATTTTCACCAAACACTCGCACATGTATACAAATCAAACCAGAACACTTTGAACTTTTAATTTTGTTGTTGTAGTGAATTTCATTCTACTTGTCACGTCTCTGGAAATTTTTCGGAAAATCAAATTCATGCCAATTTTTAAAAAATCATACAAATTAAAGTATTAGACTTAGACAACTTTAGTTTTTTGTATTAGATTAAGCTTGAATGTTACTTTACTGTGTCAAAAAATAATTACAATAGGGTAATTCTGAGAGTTGTGGTGATTTATTGAAATACCCCCAAAAACGCCAGTCTTCAACGTTTGTGACTGGTGAAAGGGCCCAGTCGCAAGTGAGTTAAAAGAACTATTTCCTTTTCACCTATCCCCCACCCATCCCCACCTTCCCGGAGTATAGGGCCTACGTTAGGGAAAGTCAGATCTTAAACTCCCTCTATGCACAGAGCCCTTGCAGTCACTCTGTGACACTGTGCCCTTAGAAAAACATTAGCGGGGAGTAATGACAAGGTGTTTAAAAATTCCAGCACCTTTGTGTTGTGGGTGGCAATGAGAGAATTATCCAAAAACAAAAATGGATCAAGTTTGAATGAGTTGCAGTGTTGTGTAGTGATGCACAATCAGAATCTAGGGTTTGTGAGTGAGGTGTCCCCTCAGTTTCTTTTGTTTTTGCATGTGTCAAGCCAACAGCGAATAAGTTAACCCCCCCCCCCCCCTTCCTCTTTTTTTCCCCTAATTCGACAATGAAGAGCCCATTAAGACCTCTTTCATCCCACATTTGTTTATGTTACAGTTACCCTAGAAACCCTGTCCTTGACACTCCAGGAAAGGCAACTGTACATTACCATGTTATGATTTTTATCATGCATTTCTCTTCATTTCTTTTTCCTAGCTCTGTCATCTTTTTTTTTTTTTTTTTAAATCTAGGAGTCAACCGGAGAAAAAAAATTCCCTCTCCTTGGTGAGTAGGAACCCTGTATAGTGGGTGTCGCATTCAACAAGGTTGCGGGGACCGGCTTGTAGTCCTCGTTGGATCCGACCTCTCGTTGAACGTGACTAAGGCTAAAGAAAAGAAAGGAGACAATGTTATTAAAATTATTATTATATTAAACGATGTACCAATACCAGTAATTAAAAGTTGTTTCCCCTGATGACGAAAATCTCAAAGAGCATCAGTGTCCGCGTGTTTGAGCTGTGTTCTGACCATCATTTCTGCATGTTTAAAAATATTTTTTTACGGAACACTTCTCGTGTGGAAACATACCCTCTCACATCTAGGCCTAGATCTACATAAAGTACAGGCGGGAGCTTGGATTTTCTGATCAGGGGTAGAAAAGAAAATTGAAAAAAAATGAAGGTCTCGATCTAGACCTCGATCCAGAGTTCATCCAGTTTCACACAGCCCGCATCGCGTTCCCACCCTCCCCCTCCCATCCCTATCGTAGGCTAACCCTCGCCCATCCTCTTGGCTTTGGGGCCCATAATAATATTATGAGGCAAACTAGATCTAGCAATACAATGTGTTAGGAATCGAGGATGGGCCTTGTGCTTCGCGTGAGATGGAGAGAAAGGAGAACAATTCTTCTCTTTTAGGGCCCCTAATTGCTTTTATTTGGTTATCGCGACATCGAAAGCGACTTCGGTCTGTTTGCAACCTCGTTGGAGCTGACGTGCTTTTACAAAGAGATATAGAGGAAAAATCGGGGATTAAGGATTGCCTCGTTGGAGCCGACTTCTCATTGAATGTGACCTCGTTGAATGTGACACCCACTGTACTACTTGGGTCAATGGTATGATGGTTAGGGTTTCCTCCATTGCACACAAAAGACGTGAGTTTGATTCCCATGGGAGGAAGTCTATTTGATTATGTATCTCCACCTTTCTGTTCGGGTGCTGTATCCCACTTAGCCTGGGTAGGTTCTGATGCTCAGACTGCCTCCCTTAATTATGTGAATGGCAAATGCAATAATACATAAAAAGTAAGTTCTGAGGACTTGTTTTGGGTATATTATTATATTTTGTGTGTGTTTTTTCCAGTAGCCCTATTGATCCATTACCAGAATCGTCAACGTGCTGCAATACACTGCACCTGCCAATGTATACTAAGTAAGTCCTATATGCTGTTGATGTTTTGTAGATATAGTCATTCTAGATTAAATTTAGAATAAAGATTTTTCGTACCCCCAGTGGGTCGGGGGGATATAAACAGACCCACTGCTTCATCTGCAGAAGGTGCAACCCCTTCAAAGACGAGGTGTCTCACACGGACCCCAATCCTCA